GGGAAGCCCGAGCACCCCGACCATGGAAAACGACCGCGACGCAGGAGAAAGGGAGCCTCGCGGACAACCGCCCGGAAGACGGGGCCCCCAGAAAAACAGGAACGAATCCGAGGAAAGCAAGGAGGGGGGGGGGGGGGGGGGGGGGGGGTAGGGTTCAGGTGCCTACCAGCGTCTCGGGGTTCTCACGTCACATTGCCCAAACACCGTGCTGGTTCAACATTCCTCAGTCTCTACCGCCCCACCCATCTGCCTCGCCGCACCTTTGCTCCCCCTCCGATGTTTCCGCTCCCCCTTCTTGTTGCTACGCCTGTCCCACGCTGTCTTGTTGTCTCGCCTCTACGCACCTCCTCTCCCCGAGCCTCGTCTGTCTACCTCTGTCCTTACTCGTTTCATTCTCTGCTTACCCGATCCAGCCAGGAGCCAGCACCGAGCCCATCGAACCAGCCGCAGTGGCCCCCGTGCTCCGTGATGGCGACCACGATGCCGTCGCTCTTAGCGGCCGCTTCGAGCGCACCCACCCAGGCGTGCGGGGGGCAGAGCGGGTCGTCTTTCGCGAGGAGGCACAGCGTCGGCACGGTCACCTTTACGAACAAGTTGAAACGGTGATGGGCGGGGATGGCGCGGGCACAAAAACACTGTCACAACGCACACTGTCACAACATCTTCTTGCGTGTCTAATTCTGTCCGAAGTCTCTCTCGCGTCAGACTTCTCGCGTAAGACTTCTTCATGATCCCCCATCTGTTCCGTGATACGGCGTTCAATGTTATCTTCTCACTGTTCCGAGGTGCTGATTCAACGCCGGTCAAAGGTCTAACGGCGGTGTCAACAACGTGGCGACAATATCCTTCGCGGCGGGCGCCTCCATGCCTCCCGTTAGTCAATCCATCAAGCACCCTCGTCGTGTTTGCCAGCTCATGACATCTACGTGCTGTCTCTCTGCAAGCTGCGTGTTCCGTTGCGAGGGCGGCGTTTCTGCTCTCTCCCCACCCCCCGTAGAGTGGTTCGCCACGGCTTGTTTTCTCTCGTACCACATCTTTGGTTGGGATTTCTCGTCCACCACATTTGCCAACCTATCCGTCTGCACCCGCACTGCTCCCCCACTTACCGAAGACACACCCTGGCCCATAACCCGCCCGATTCGTTGAAAGTACGCGTCCACGCTCGAGTCCCCCGTGAACGGTAGCGTCAGCGCCTCGTGAAAAGCGCTCGGGTCCTTCATCGCCGCCATTTCCTTCGCCGTCACCAACCCCGACGTAGCACCTGCCCCCGGCCCCGCCCCCGCCGGCATACCTACCTCCCTTCCCTTCCCATGGCCGGAGTCAAGCAACGAAGCCGTGTGGAACACCTCGTCTCCGCGCCGCGAAGCGACTGCCTCTGCCGTCGCCGTGCCTTGCGTCGTCTCTCCATCGACGAGCCCTCCACTAGCTCCGCCGGCAGCTGAGAGGGAGGGGCGTGCGGCCGGCGACGCTATGGCGGAGGCGCTGGACGGAGCTTGGCTCGCGGCGCAAGAACCCGCTGCCACCGTTGCCGCAGCCCCCCCCGCCGCCGCCGCCGCCGACGCCGCCGACGCCGGGCGCAACTTCTTTCTCGTTCGCATCGGCCCTGTCGACGGCCGCAAGGGCTCCTCTGCCGTTGCCGACGAGGACGACGGCCCGACGCCCATCCCCTCGTCGTCACTAGAGCAGAAGCTGCTGTTGCGGATCGGGCCGCTGCTTCGACCGCCGGGAACGGAAACATCAGCCTCCGCAGTCAGGGTTTCCAACACCTTGAACTTGCGGTAGTTCTTCACAGTTACCTGGGGATCGGGGCCGTCAACGCAGCAATGCAGTCCGTGAGGCGTGTAGAGTTGTAATGGGCCTTAAGTCTTCCGGCACGGAAGGGGGAGAGACCGTAACGCTGACCCCACATGTAGTCCGGAGAATAATGAGCAAAACAATTTGACCACCATCGCCGGCTCCAGGATGGTCCCTGCACCAACAGCAGCAGCCAAACAGCTATGCCAAGCCTGCAAGGACTCGGCCACCGAGAAAACCGCTGCAGTCCGTATACCGCAAGTGCGCGATTGTTCGCACACCTCCTGGACCCAAGCTCAGAGCTCCACTCCTCCACAAGCACGAGATGTTCGCAAGCCGACGGACGGATGCGTGCAGGGCAATCTCCCGAGGAGGTCTTGCCAAACTCAACGCGTTTCCGTGGACCAGTCGGTCTACAAAATAGGGAGCGTGCGATCACTGTCGCACTTTCGTAACTCTACGGAAATATTCCCACCTTGCACGTTTTCCGACGCATCGAGCCCCTTCCCATCACTCACCTTCGTGTTGGCGAAGCCGTACGGGTAGGCGTACTGCTCGGCGATGTGCTTCATCATGGCCGGCATGTCGAAGAGCCCGGAGATGCTCACCAGCCCGCACAGCCCGTGCTCCTCCTGCGGCGCCGTGCCTGCGATGGCCGTCAGCACGCAGCCGCCGAAGCTGAACCCAACACCTAGGACGGGGACGTGCTCCCCGACCGTCCGTCTCAGGTGCTTGATCGCGTCTCTGCAGTCCGAAAGGGCGGCGTGGTCCCACGTCTCCGGTCTTCCGCAACAAGGACAAAACGAGAAAACCCAAGAAAAGTGAAAAGACAAGCCTCGTAGACAAGAGCAGATGAAAGACAACAATCTGGGGTGCTCCCCATAGAGAGAGCGGCGGGTTACCATCAAACGCAACAGAGAAAACCGCCTTGGTGGCAAATACCATTCCACAAGACGCACGCATTCCTGTTCAGCAGACAGCCCACCGTGCTGGGTGCCCTGTCTCGGCAATGGAACGCAGGCTCGTCTCGGCGTTCTTTTGCAGCGCAGCAACACGCGCTTGGTTGAGAAAAAATCAGGCGAAGAATTGTTGTACGCGTACGTTCACAGAAATACCCACATCGCGGTAAGAGATTGGCCAGAGGCAATGGGTTCTCGCACCTTCTTGTAGACAATTCCAACCCGATTCCCCTCCAGTTCTTGGTGACCACTCGGTAGCCGTACTTGGTGGATAGGTGGGCCGCAAGGTGCCGGATGTAAACCTGTCCATCGTCAAGTCAAATCGAACAGGAGACAAGTCGACCGAGGCACGCAACGGTCGGTCCGACGGACCCTAAAGCGGTGATGGATCCTTCAGAAATAAAAAAAAACTGAAAACGACACGCAACCCGCCAAACGAGCGAACGGAGGCGGAAAGTAAAGTGGAAGCAACACAACCACAGCTGAAGCCAGAACCTTAGCACCGACATCGTTCGAGTCGCGAAGTAACACCAGCAACCGAAGCCACCTCACACAGAAGCAACTTCTGAACCGACGTCGACCACAGCAGCAAAATCTCGACCGACAGCAGGATCAAAAAACGACAAAGACCCCTTCAGCGGCTGCAACGGCGGCGCTCACGTTAGTGCCTTGGCCCACGACCCCGGGGAGGACAAAGACGACTGGGGCGTCCGCAGGCAACGGGGTCTCGCGGAGGTCAAACCTACCCAGTACGGCACACCGGAGGAAACGCACGACCAAAACGAGAGAAAACGTGAGGTTTCAACGTGGGCTTTGCATCACGAGAAAAGCAGAAGTAAGGGACGAGGGCAAGGGCAGCATCTACGTGAGGAGCTAGATTCTGCCCTTCAGCAGTGATTAGTCCCGACGCCACACCCTTCAATGTGGAGAACCTCCTTGCCCAGTACGTTCAACCCGACCTCCCCCCAGGGGACCAGTCAAGCCTCAAGATTCAATACGAGGGCGATGCAGAACACCCTGCAAAAACGAACATCCTCACATTTATGAACGTCACGCGGTCGTGTGCTACACTAGCAACTCGCGCGTGGAACGGAGGACAGTTCAGTACGACGAAGGAGCAGCAGTTCCCACGGTTTGCCACCAGATCTCACAATCCACAGATGCAGAGCGCCGTTGCTGGGGTTTGCCAGACTGGACTATCATCATGAAGTATAAAAGACAGGTAGGGGCTACGTAGACCTGAACCATAAGCCCCTAGATTCCACCACTTCCATACATTATCCAATATGTTTGCTTACAGAAACTGTGGAGGCTACTGGCCAGACCGGCCTGGTGGGTCACCCACCAATCCATGCGAAACACGCCGCCGTCGAAGGAAGACTCCACCCGGTCTTGTCGGCTAACCAGACGGCTCACCATCGCCCGGTCACCGGGCGGGCACCAGGTGGCAAACATGAAGCTCTGCATGTGGCCACCGAGCTGTTCGGTATAAGTACGCACGTGCATAGAGCAAGAGCGGGAGTTGGTTTACGCGGTCAAAAAACAATAAAAAACAAGATATTGTGAACGGAATCCACAACGACACGGGGGAAACGCGCACTAGTGAATGGATGCTACGTACGCATCGTTCTTGAACAGGTATGCTCACGTGTCGTTGGTTGATCGCGTAAGTTGACATGCGATGTGCAAATTTATTCAGTTGAAAACGTTCTGAACTCTAACCCAATACTTGTATCCCCTTCCGTGCTCTCGACGGCAGACAAGAAAATCAATCCCGTAGTCACAACCTCTTGAACCCTGCTGAACGAAAGACTCGTCGAAAGTCCCCACTCGCCAAAACAAGAAAATAGCTGCTGAAAAAAACTGCCCTGAAAGACAAGAGCCGATGTGTAATGCACTACACAAGTTGGAAGGCTACTCCACACAGCATACAATCATGCAACGGTAGCCATTTGGAATTTGAGGGTGTTGAGATGGTGGTGGGGGCGGAATTGCGTAGGCCCCAAACCGCAGCATTGGTCACCAGGCAAACCAATCGCATCCAGCCTCGCTTCCTGACGTTCAGCTCTTGCTCGGCCAGCAATCCTTGCCTTGAATAGGCGTAGAGTCTGGCGGGGAAACTTTCTGGGTATCCCGCCGGTCGGCGCTTTTCGAGTGAGAACGGTCGAAAATGCGGCGGAAACACTCGGGGTTCATTTCTTCGGCTCATTTACGTTGGGCAACACCACCGAGAGCTGCTGTCCAAATCCACGACACCGGCGGCACGGCGGTTGGCCCGCCCTGTTCTATTTGCTTCAAGCAGCAGCGGTTGCCGAAATTGCTGATCGGGCCGGGGCTTAGTCGTTCGCCACGCACGCTATTTACTTTCCCCAGAAACACGATAATAGAGGCGAATCTTTGACGAGAGTTCTCGGCCAAAATCAAACAACCGCCATCCTTTCCGCCGAACCGAGAAAAGTGAAAACAAACATGCCGCCAGCTTCAGATAGGGACAAAGTGGAGAGCCGCCGCCCATCGAAAATAGGTCCAACACACGGCGAACGCCTTCAAGCGCGACAAGGACAAGTTTGGCTTGCAGGCAGGTACCTTACCAATTCGGAAATAGACAAAAAAAAGTGGGTATACCCACCCCTTTCTCGGACGAAAGTGGGCACTCGGAAATCCAGCTCGCACGCACTTCATGTGTACGCATCTGAGTAGTGTTGTAATCCTTGTGTTCACGTGTTCGCTTACCTCGCCGAATAAGGAACGAGGTGCCTCAAGAATGGTATCGGGAAGGAGCTGGTGACATGGCCTGCTGGATAATGCCAAGGTTTGGCGCCTTGAGGTGCCGAATGCACCCCCAAAAAAAGTTTGTGATGACGCAAAAAAGTTAACGGCCGACCGAGCGGTTTGCTCAAGCAGGCAAAGCAAAAAAAAGTGTGGTGCTTTAGACTGCAACGGGCTTGGTTTTCCAGCCATAAATTTTCCAAGGAGAAAGCAGCAGCAATAGGAATGCCACCCCGCAGGAGTTAGCTCTACTGTGCATCTTCCTCGTTCAAGGTTTGATGCCTTGGGTTATCGAGTGAGGGCCGAGAAAAATATTGTAGCTTGCCTCTCTCGCACGGAACAGCCCGAAAAGCCGCGTCGGTGAGGCACAGCGAGATGGTTAGGAGAACAGCGGCACAGAGAGATCACACGGGTCGCGGTGCTTAGGTGTGGGCCAAGCTCACGCGTCGTGGGTTTCTTCATACTGCCGTGTTGCACAGAGTTTGTCGTGTCGTTGGTGGAGTTGCTCATCCTCTTGGCGTGTGTATATATATGGCTGTGCTTTGAAGGGAGTGGAGTGTTGTGTGCGAAAGCTGTCTGGGGTGGCGCTCTCTCTGCTGCTGCTGTCTGCGACCGAAAGTTCTGCCGCGGGAATTTCTGCACATGGGGCTCGAAAGCACCATGCTAAAACAAGCGGGAATTGACTCTTTACGCACGAAGGACGACGGGAATCCCGATTCGCAAAACGAACGGCCCGACTGCCCTTTCAAACTCAAAAAGGCGTGAAATCCCGTGTTTTTCTGGATTTTCACGGATAACAAAGCATGCGGGAAGCGGGAATCGGAGTTTGAAAGATGTCCAGCGAGCTGCTTGCCGGATATCTTCCCGTGCCATGTGGTTGCCGTTGGATACCGAAGGGGTCTGACATGCTTTGACATGTTCCCCCGCGGTCGGGTCCGCAGTCGGTATTTTTGCTTGCCAAAGATGCCATGGATACCGTGTTGCCGAGTTCTGAGAGGTTCCGAGGTTGTTCGATGTTCTGTCGTGCGGTGATGTGGAGGTCGAGTGTTCGATGTCCTGGAGTGGACTATAATGCATACAATTCGGACAAGTTGGGTAAAAAAATAGACAGAAGTGGGCACATGGAAAAAATAGTATAGGCCGGTGGGTATACCCAACCATGTCGGACAAAAGTGGGTACTGTGTTGAGGCCTTGCGCGCCGTGGTGGATATTCGGGCCAAAGGTGTGCCTGAAAGTCGGGAAAAAAGGATCCCGTGCTGTGTATTTCTCCCTGGCTACGATGAAGTACAGTATGTTGTTCAGATATCGGATTTGGGTGTCAAGGCGTTTGGGGCTCTCGCCTATGAAGCGCGCGAGAGATGGATTTCCGAGTACCTACTTTCGTTCGAGAAAGGGGGGTATATGTACACATGCACCCACTTTTGTCTATTTCCCCTACCAATTCGAATTTTCTAGCAGGACCGCCAGTAGGAACAAAGATGAGAAAATACACCGCCACCAATGCATATGTATGTACGTACGTACCGATGAAATGGCAGGATGCCTGCACACACCCTTTTGAACCCGCGAGAGGGGCTGATCAACCAACTGCTGCGTCTGTACAACAACTCGAGTATGCGCGTAAGGGCACAACAATCTGGTCTCAGACAAGACTTTGTGGGGCATGTAAACAGCTCCTTCAAAGTGTGTTGTACTGCTGTACTGGTACGAAGTACTTGTATCAAACAGCACCAGAGCACCAAGTCCCGCTACGGACAGGTCCGAAACTACGACGCGTAGAAGACCACCGTATGCACGCGTTTTCCCGCATGCTTACAGGCGCAACGCTGTCGGTCGGCCCTTGCCTGCGGCGGCAGAAGGATATGCAGCAGTGTGCGGATGCCCACGGCGCAAGATCCAACTGAAAAAAACGGTCCATTGATTTCATATCTTCTAGTGTTTCATCGGCTCTATTTGTACAAATATCGCAGCAGTATCCTCCGAGGCGCCGAGGGCCGCGTTTCCTTCGATTTTCGAAAAAAGGCCCGAGAGCCACCCCAAAACCCAATACTTTCCGCGTACCTCCGGTAAAACGACAACAACTTCAGCGTAGACAAAGGAGGGTCAATCAACACACACAGACAAGGCCTTTCCGGGTGTGGGTTTGTACGTGCCCTGCCTGTGTCCAACTCACCCTATGTCCAAGCCATGGGCTCGGGACGTACGGCTGTCTCAGGACGCTAGCCTCCGACAGCAGGCGCCGATTGAAAGCGGTCTTCTTGTATCGGAGCTGCGGAGGGGCTGGCTCCCTCTTGCCGCCAACGCCCGCCGCGCCCAGGTCGCTCTTGCTCTTCCCGGCCAGGAACGAACGGGCCCTGGCCCACGGGCGGCCACGCCGGAACCACTGTAGCACGAACCAACCGCACGCGAAGAGCAGGAGATAGTAGGCGGCGATAGACAGCAAGAGCAGGGGACCGCTCTGCTCGTACCCAGGGACATCCAACCACAGCAGGAGGGGGTGCTGCTGCCCTGACGAGAGCTTTCCTCCTACGCCTCCACCCGAAGGAAGAAACCTCGCCATGACTATCCCCTGAGTTGAGGGTGCTCTCCTGTGCTGGGCTGAACGGAGCCGGGGTGTTCTGTGTGCCGGACAGTTCGAGTTGGTTGGGAAAGGAACAAGGACCGGCGGCGACGCGAAATAAGTTAGGGGAACTGCGGGGGGGTGCATTTCCACGGAACCTGGGGACCGGTGACCGGACAACCAATCAACCAATCAACGGCCTCTGTGTTTTCATTGGTCGAATCATATGATATTCTGCAATCTTCGCATGCATACGTATGCATGTTGCGTATGCATGTTGGATGTTGCAGATATGGCGTATATTGCATTAGCGGGCGCGTTGACAGTTAAGCTTGATGACAATGTGCTTACGTCAAGCAAGAGCAGAGAGTCGAAGTACTACGCAAAACGGCCTCGAGAATGCGCTTGTAAGCGCTGTTCACATGCTATGCGCTTGTATGCGTTGTTCACATGCTCACTACATGTTCATTCCCACCTACCTTCGGATGCAGCCATCACAGCAGTGTAGCAGTATATGCATACTCAGCTTCCCATCAGATACATCCAGTGCCCGATTTCACGACTTCATTGCTTCTTCGAGGTGGCAGCGTTGGCATCCTTGCCGTGCATACACAAGTCAATCTTGCTTGGGTTGAGAGCGTGCTTTCTCTCGTGCTCTCTCCTTCTCGACAAGGTGGAAATAAATACAGCGACAGCATGCCAAGGTCCATGGAACGAAACATTCGGTAAAGTATTGTAAGCAGCCCAGAAAAGTGGAAAGAGGAGAATATGTCACTCTTAAAAGGCAGTGCCACTTTTTGAAAGATCGGGTTCACGTACACGTTGAGATTGTGACAAGAGCTTTTGATGCCATTATAATTGTCGGGCTGCTTACTGCATGAGGTGGAATTACAGCCTGCAATAATCCGAGTTCCATGCTAACCGTGGCAGGCCCACGGTGTTAGGGACGGCGGGAAAATACATGGTGTGTTCACCGATCACAGCGATGGACACATCTCAAGGAAGGATGTAAACGAATTCTCCCACCGCTGCATCGTGCATTCCTTCTACTTCGCAACTTCGAAATATGTCGCTTTCGGACCGGACCACAAGGAACACGAAACACGAACTACTGTACATTTCGTCACGCGCCCTCGTGTGAAGGCAACAACAGCAGCAGCAGCAACAACAACAACAACAACAACAACAACAACAACCCTAGCCCACAATAGTGCGAAGGGGATTTCTTTAAGAGCATCGCCAACCAAGAACGAGTCTAGCCATTGTCCCTGCCATGGTCTGTCCCGTCCGAGCCCTACGTGTTTCACTGCTCAGGCCTCATCTTCGGAATACTCGGAACGCATTCAATTACTTACGAAGAATGCAGTTGTCCACAAAACAACTCGCTCGCTTGTGCACCACGTGTACATCCGTGCCCCAGAGCAACCACTAGTTCGCGCGCATACGCAACCAACCCAGCCACAAGCCGCTACTACACCATTGAGAGCACAAGCTAAACAGTCCGCTCGACCAAAACACTAAGGACGCAGGGGCATATTCCCAACCCAACGATAACTCGTCGCCCCCGGAAAGGCTGTGGCTATCTCCACAGGTCAACGAAGGCACGAAGATAACGAGACTCGCACGCCTCGGGGGTAGTTATCGAAACCGAGTCATCGACCGAACGGGAAGTCATCGCCCCTGGCAGGAGGGAGTTCCCGCGGAGGCCGTCTCGCACCCCTCTCTCGCCGGAGCATTTCCCTGCCGGTTCAACGCAACCATTGTCAGAGCACGCGGGTCAATTGCAAAGCGGGTAAACAATAAAGTGGCTGCCGTCGTCGGTGCTGCCACGCGCATGTCCTTCGGTTTCCGATACATGTACCTTCGCAAAATGATATCCCCTGTCAGCACGCAGAAAGATCACAGGGCGGGCAAACCTGCCCGGTAGCTCGATGTGATGCTCGTCCTATTGTTCTCAAAAATGTTGCGACAACGCAGGAACGAAGCGGAGAAACAAACTATGATGTAGAAATATTAAGATTAAGTCACGTCTCAAGGCAAACAGGTCGGCTGCTTCGCACGGAGACTTGTGGGTGACATGACTGACCCAGACAGGGCTCGACACAAGCACAGCAGTCGCGCGAAAAAACATGCGACACCACAAACGCCGGGCAGACATCTGCATTGCCCCGCCTTCGCACCGCCGGCGGTGGCGACTTCTCAACGGTGTTTCCAACAGTCAAGTCGCACCTGCGTTCTTCGCAGTCCTCGCAGTCGAACGTCCCGAGCCCGTTGCAATAGGTGCACTTCTTGGGCATGGCGGACGCCGACACGAAAAAACCCTTTCCCCCGCATTCGCTGCACTCTACCTGCGAGGATCAGACAGCGCGGTTGAGGGGGGATCAAGCTCAGATGCACTGGAGGCACTGCTGTGGGAGTGAGGCCCATTTATGCATCTTCCACCTGTTCGTTGAGTTGGAATCGAGACTTTAGAGCATGTCAAGGACCAAAAAATCCGTTGCAGTTGGGTACAAGTATATGCATATGGGCGGGTGTGAGCATCAGTCATCTACCTACCTTCCGACGTTACATGTGGAAGGAAAATATCAGCGTCCACCTGTCGCGTGATACGTTCCCTCGAAAACACCACAGCGACATACTCCCCGAGGCAAAATGCCTACGCGTGCACGCCATTGGACGGACGCACCTGGTTGGTGTTGTCGCACGTCGGGCACACGTATCCCCCGGCATTCCCGTACTCATCGAAATCCTCGTCGTCGTCCCACAAACCGGCCGCATAATCCTCGTCCCTGACCATTCCCTCCTCCTTTTCCCGTATGCGCTCCGCGGTCACCTTCGGGATAAGGGCCGCGAAGCCACCGAGCATGACCGCCTGTACCGTGCCGTGGAGCCAGACGCTGAACTCTGGAGGCTGGAAATGGAGACCAAACAGCATACGCGTGCCATGCCCACCGCCAGTTCGCCCTGTCACGCGTGTCGTTTCGTTGGTTCAATCAATCCTTTTGGTCGGTAAGGGTTTGGTCTAAGATGTGATGCTTTGAGCCTGTGGTGCGAGACTGATTGCTTGACCAAGCGAAAGAAGGCAAACTGCTCGAGGCACTTTCCTCTGGCGATAAAATGACACCCGTATCAGCACTTGGTATCAGCATTTTAGCCCAAGAATTCATGGAAGATTGGCGTACGAGCCTGGCGATGAGACCCTTTGGTTATTTTCACGAATCGACCGCCCACGACCGCCCGATGAGGCCTAACCCACCTCCTCGTCCCGTACACAAAGGGCCCCTACCGAAGAAGTTTGCCAAAACAAAGAACTTGAGCACAATTTGCGACGTCGGTTAGGAACCTCTGCACTAGAACCTATGTAGCGGCCATTGTAGCATGAACCTGGGAACTGACAACCCCAGCCGCGGCCAAAGCTAGAGGCTCTTTACTGCGGGCGCTACAGTACCAGTACCTCAACTCCGTGACTCTCAATCTACACGGGGGGTGCACTCCCGTACACCGAGGGGGAGTAACAGCAGTAACAGCAGTCCTGCAGGAGTGCTGGGGACCGTGCGCAGCGTGTGTGTCTGTGGTAAAGAGTGTTGAGGATTTGGATGGGTCCAGGCGGGGTTGGGTGTCGAGTTTTGATACATGGCGGCGTTGAGGTGCACTCTCGGCTGATCGCGCAAGAATCCATTTGAATCCATTGCTAATCTGTCTCAGACTCTTTTTTATGATAGAGATGGTTTCGTTGTGTCATATTAAGAAAAAAAAAAAATAAATAACAACAACTGACAGCAGCGGCCTACATTGTATCAGTATAGAAGACGTGCAGCACATGTATTTTACATACAAAAAACAAAGCAGGATGTCGCCCCCGGGCAACCGACTGTTTGCTGCTGGCGATGAGAACGACACACAACGCTTCGTGCATTGCAAATAGATACCGTATGTAGACGATGGTGGCCCCTGGTCGGCGTATTACGTTTTTGTGCAGCCAACGGCGCGCACACCCACCGGCTTCGTGGAGGAAGAAACAGGAAAATCCTGCAACTACAGACGGTGGGTGGATTTCAAAATGTGCTTTGAAAAACATGATCCATGCTGTAGCGGGACAGCTGATTGACGCGATACAAACGCCGAAGGGACCAAAATCTGCACACAGGGTCAAGACAAGGGTACTATAGGCCAGCAACAACGCCAAAAATTACTGCGGGGTGCTGCTCACAGGGCGGCTTCGAGAAGGAATGTTGTGTATGCGGCTGAGCGTGCGTGCGGTGGAGACAGGCCGCTCAAACATCAACAAACACCACCCGAACCTCATTCCTCCCCATCTCTCATTTTTTCTCTCTCTGTTACTATGTTTCTCCCTCTCACTTTGCGTGCGTCGTCTCCCTTCACCAGTCACCTCAAACCAATTGCTCTGGCTTTTAACTGTCCTAGCCGTGAAGCTTCCGGCTGCTGCCGCCGCCAGAGGTGTTTGGCTGCCGCTTGCTCCTTGCCTGCTGCCGCGTGGTCGTTTTCTTTGAAAGGCAACAGCCCCAGCCACAAAGCCGGGAGTGCCGCTCGCTCGTCCTGTACGCCTAACGAACGATTCCACACCATCGCAGTAGAATAAGGCAATGGCCCATGCTAGCAGGAGCGAACGCATCGCGCCAGCAGCGAAGTGGACAGCAGAGCCAGGGCAAAACTGCCGCTGCCCCCCCCGTACGGCAAAGCATGGCGGCCGGGGAGCACACAGAGCGGGGAGTGTGGAGATTGTATACACATTTTCGTGAGCATTCCACGCAACCCCCCGGGTCCGCGCGTGTGAGCGTGTGCACAACAAGCTTGTCGTCCCGCCCCAGCCCTTTTCGTGGCCCACCCTACAGCAGCCCCGCCGCAGCTGTTGACTGGATCTGATGATCGACCAGGACTATGCGGAGCTTTTGGGGCGCTCCCCCCCTTCCGGAGAGGTGTTGGAGTGGACCTTCCCCGCTCGCGCGCTGGCGGATGCGTTCGTCTTGCTGCTGGTCGGTACCCCTGCTCTCTGTTGCACGCTCTACATGACAGGCTTCTCCCGGGAGGAGAGCTTTCACGGCGGGGGTGCCGAGTTGCGGGTGAGTCATTGCCGCACCATGCTGCAGGTAGAACTTTGCTGTCGTCGCCGGTTGCTAGGCGCTTCGGGTATCAGGACCGCGAAAGATTTTTGAGCACGCACTGATTGTACAATAATTTATCTGCTGTCCAGAAGCTGTTCTTCATGCTAATAGTGCTGCTGTAGCTACAGCAGCAGCGGGACGTCGGGGAGGCTGCTGCCGCTGTCTTTACTGCCGTAGGTTTGCACTCATGCCCCAACCTTTTCGGTGAAGGTTTGCCTTCGATGGGCTGCAGATGCGGATGCTGGGACCAGGATTGTTCGGTTGTTGTATTCGACAAAGAGAGGATCGTCCGCGCTGACCTGTGCGATGATCGAAGGCGACGTTGTTCTCGTAGACTACAAGTGCCGGTTAGCAGGTCAGGGTGGTGTGTTCTCATACCCTCCGCGCCGTGCGTGGACAAGTCGTCGCCGCTGTATTTCTTAAACGCGTGGAACAAAGCCATGGAGGGGAAACAAGCGGTTAGGTTGGTGTGCAATGTATTCTAACCAACGCTGATAAGAGCAGGTGATACATCGTCGTTCGCGCAGCGCGACAAACGCCAACAATCGTGGAAATCCCGTTGAGGTTCCCCCCCCCTTCCGTGCTTCGGGCTGGAACCTACCGGGGGGTGTTACTTTAAGGGTAGCAGAGGGTCTAAGGGTGGGGCAGCGAAGATTTACATAGTGAGCTTGAGGGAGGGAGGGCGGGGGGCACACCGACAAGGTTGTGTAAAAAACCTGCGCGGTACAGGCATGGCGGTGTTAGGTTGGGGGCATGCATCACCGCAGGCCTGTGCAAGGCAACTCTTCCTTTAGGCGGCAATGATGCATGGCCTCATTTTTATGGCGCGCGCGGGTCTTTTCATGATTCCCCATTTTGGGGGTAGTTGACCGTTGACCGCCGAACGCGTACGCGTCGGCTGGACCTGCACCGATGGCAAGAGGGATCTGACCAGATGTCCGGCACTGCTGTTGTTGCGGTGAAGACAACGCCGACCACGGGATATAGTTTACCTCCAAAAATGCCGTTTGTCCCATTCGATGTGCGGTGCAGAAGTTGGTACTCAGCCTGGCTTTGGTGCTGTCGGCGTCCCGCCCTGCTCAGTTGTCGCTTCGTTGATGCACCGGGGTGTAGGACAGGACAAGGTGCCATGGCGATTTCTACAACGCTACGTCTCTCGCCCGTCGCCGATAAAATGCCCTCGTCGTTTAAAAATCGGCTATGATATGTTATTGTACCAAGTGCAAACGTGAAGGCCGCCCAAATCCATAGGCACTTTTCGGCTTTATGCGGGGACCACACATGTGACACAGCAGTGTTGATATTTGATGTAAACCTTCACTACCCTTTCGGTCCTCTTGTGTCCTCGCAGATTCCGACCCTCACGCAGCTTGGCATGCGGAACAACCCCGTCGGGTTCACCTTTAGAGCCGGCATTCAGCTGGCCGCCGTCGTCGCTGTCCCTCTCTTTTGGTGAGCTATGCATATGCATGCAGTCGTCAACTTCCCCGCCGCACTACGATCGGCCCTCTGTTCTTGTGTTCCGACAGGTGTATCGTAGGTTAGGGCTGAACGAATGCTACACACTCATTTTCGTGTATTGTTTCATTCCATTAGCCCTGTCACTGCGACTGCTGGCTTGTGCCACACATTCTTGCACTACAAGGTGTTTATTTTCGAAGTACGTACGATATCTTCTAGCACTACTAGCGATGCCCGGTCTCCTATCAGACGCGTCGACCGTTGGTCACACCACGAACGATGAATGTGATGAGCACTCCCACGAACATCCTCCCACCTTCGCCCCCCCCTCAATGCTTCCACCCTGCCATAACCAAGGTGCGTCAAATTGGCCCATCACCAGCGACTACAAGCCCGCACGGGTGTCGCGCGTTACGACATCGAGGCCGAGGGAGCCATAAGGTGGGTATCGGGGGCCTGGATCACGGGCGCGCTGGGGGCCATGCTCATGTACGCCGCGGCCAGCGTGCCGGGGGAAGAGGGGGCGTCGTTCTCGCCGCAGGGCGTGACTCACCTGGTGCTCACCACTTCGGCGGCGTGCGGGATTTTGGGGCAGGCGGTGTGCACGGCTTGGGCGCTTCGGAAGGCCAGGTGTGTACGGGTGTCGGGCCGCGTGTACATCCACTTCATGCGTGGTCATCGTCAGAATAGAGAACATGCTCTCACATGCTGGGTGACCGGCACGAAGCACGAAGCGCACCTAGGCGTTGCGACCACGAGGCAAAGCTTGTGCGGGCGAGAGGAAGGGAAAGCTTGGTGTTGGATTTGGGGGGGGGGGGGGGGGGGGGGGGGGG